CGTGTTAAGTTGAAGGCACAAGGTAATTGACTAATAACCATCGATAAGTTACATTTGACTTTGACAAGATGAAAAAACTACATACATAAAAGCAACTTGTGCCAGGCAAGAGACAAATATTTGAACACATACATATGTATATACATATATGTATCTAAAAATAATATATGCACAGGTAGACAAGTCATATAGGGCAACTTAATTTATTAAATAATAAGTTATACGCATCGCCTACCTGAGTTCAATACACTTCTGCTTATCAAATACACTTTATAACCTATATGTACATGAAATTGTTAGAAAGCAGAGATGGTAATCATAATGAGTAAAATAATTTAAATCAGCATTTAATCATTATTTTATGATTTTTATATTTTTCGCTCAAAAATAATAATTATTATTGATTTTTGTTTTTTCGCTCAATGGAAAAGATTTTTATTTGATTTTTATTTTTTCGATCACAAATAATGATTATTTTATGATTTTTATTTTTTCGCTCAGAGATAATAATTGTTATTGGGCTTTAGTTTTCCACTTAAAAATAATGATTATTTATAAAATTGAAAAGGCCATACAGACGCAACTTACTGAAATTTGGACCTGAAAGTTTTGGGACTTATTCCTTTTATTAGGGTGGTGTCGCTACCTCTGAAAAGGATACGACGGAAATCGCGCTGGTATAGCTTTTGCGTTATCTAAATAATAATTATTATCATCGAGCGAAAAAATAAAAATCGTAGAATAATCATTATTTTTGATCGAAAAAATAAAAATCAAGTAATAATAATTACCTTTGTGCAAAAATTAAAACTCAAATATTAATTATTATTTTCATTATATAATTATTATATATCATTATAAATTACAGTAGGGCGTACGAATACAAATACGAGCGTATAGTTAAAACTGGTTTACGACGATTACAACTTGTTGATTTTTTTGGTTAAAATTTAAAAAATAATGATTATTTTCCGTCCCTGTTAGAAAGTATAACCTGAAAGTGCACTAAATACATAAATTGTATGCCTACAGCAAGTGTTTTTGTTCCCTTAACACTCAGCGTCAATAATTAGAATTGAATACAATAAGCGGCAAAACTTTTTTTATTAATTTTTATATTTTTTTTTTGGTCAAACTGCGAACGCTCCACTTTACCACCAACTTTGTTTAAAAACTTCACTCCCCCTTAATTGTATTTACAAGCGCACATACATATGTACATATGACTAAATATGTATGTAAACAAGCATGAAAGTCATTTTACAATTACGCACATCTGTTTTTGTTTATTCATAACTTGGAAGTCTTGACAAGTGTCGACAATGTTGAATGCATTGATTGTTGAATGTTGCTCATACGCCCAGTAGTACTCGCATGTTCGCTAAGTAAGTAAATAATCACTGTCTAACACGCAAAGCTAATAACGACTACACGTTCATATTGAAAATTTTATATGTACTTACATACATATATCAGCATTTAGTGAGTTCAATTGAATATTTGTATATTAAATGGCGATAGGTCATTCTTACCTCGCGCTAGTGTCAACTCGTACGTACCTATGTATATAGGCAGCAACAAGTGATGTGCAAAAAGAAAACAGATAATTCCACAATATGTGAACAGCTGCGAAATTATAATATATTAAAAGCTTATTGCATACCTCTGCTTTGTAAATGTGTATGTACATTTGAGGTTTTATCGAGGTAAGTAGTTTGACGTTGTGTGGGCGCTGATGGTTCTTTTAATGGTCAAATTGTGCAATTAAGATTGACGGATACATGCGAATATTTTCTTATATTTTATATGAACACAGAAATGTAAATAAACAGCATTTTTAATTCATAACATATTTAACTAAAATGTTAATAAATACTCGCAAGAATTGGACTCTTAAATTGGGCACAAAATTTGGACATTGAAAGTCGTAATACTCTGGCAGTTATTTAGGGGGGGGGCGAGGTTTTTGTCCGATTTCAAGCGCAATGTGATACAAATTGATAAAGTGTTTTTCAAGATACACATATTTCATATATATGTAATTGAGCGGTGCCACGCACAATTTCCAAAAAATTTATGAAAAGCCAATTTTTCGCAAATATCCATTGTAACCCTGTAGTTAAATGTACTAGTTGTAAACTACCTCACAACTAGTATGAACCTCATGCCCAACTAGTCAGCCAACTATCTTTTTTCCATGCAATTAACTGGTATTTTTAACATGGGGATGTCCTACGAGATGTCAATTGTCAGATTTCGGTCAAAAATATACCAGTCTCATACTAGTTTAAAATAGACAGAAAAATACTAGACCAATTATGGACCAAAACTACTACTTTGGGAGTCAAAAAATAAAATGAATTCATGAATTTACAATGAAAAAATTTTGATTAAGTAGACTTTAATATATTACACTTTTTTTTTAAGCAACCTTAGATATGCCATTAATTAGTGTTAATTTTTTGAGTATTATTTAAAAGTAAAAATAAATACATAAATATCTCAAACTTTCGAACATAAATTTGAATGCGTTTTTCATAAAGTGCTATTAAAAGGTTTTATCTTTTTTAATGATATTGAATATGCAAAAGAAAACATTTTAGTTAAAAATAACTTGAGTACTTTAGTTCATTTTTGAGTGAACTAAAATAAAATAAAATTGTTCATTAAAATAAATTAAATTCATCAACTTTGCACATTTCAGTCTTTTCTTTTTAAAATTTTATAAAAGTAATAATCAATTTTTAAAATTTGAGATTTCGATAAGAATACAATAAATAAATAATTCAAGCAGTTATTAAATATTCTTAATATTTGTCTATAATTTGCCTTGGTGATTAATAATTGAAATTAATCAAATAATTATAATAATATAATAATAAAAATAATTGAAATGATCAAAAATAATGATGTAATTAAAATTAATGAATTAATTAACATTTTTTAAGTAATTAATTAGTTAGTAATATCGGTATTTAATCATTAAACGGTTAATTAATAATTGTTATGAAGATTAATCATTATTTAACAAGTCTGGTATAATTGAATACGTACTCAATTTAATGGTTTACAATATACCCAAATAAAAGTTATAATATTTTGTGTACTTTATTCTATTAAACTATCGAAGTCAAATAAAACAGGGCATGAATAAATCGTTTTGTACTTGGTACAAGTCTGGGCATTTTCGAACTAGTTTGGTTTCAGTCAGGAAATTCTAGTTGTAAACTAGTATTTTTCCTGACTAGTTTGGGGTTTCACTGCAGGGAAATATCAATATCGAGTAAATATTGCAGAATTCTTTAGCGCCACTGCGTACTAATCGACATGATTTTGAAAAGGTTTTATTTATAAACTACATTAATGAGGGTTGCCACCTGTTTAAAAATCAAAAATCAAATTCAAACGGAATTAAGTAAATTAGGTTATTGAAATAATTATGAACAGGGTTGCCACCTATTTTAAAAGTCGAATTTCGAAAATTTGTGAAATTTGTTTTTTTTTATCGTTATATACAATAGAAAATTAATTCCACAAAAAAACTCTACCTTCGAAAAATGGTGGCCCATTTCACAAATTTATGGTCCATAACGACAAAAAAAATAAAAATTTAAAAATTTTTCGTAATTCGAGTTATTCTGGAGCTTATACCTATTAATTTTTTTCCAAATTGTTTGAATTTTATTTGTTTTCTCGCGATTCGTAATATCGATTGTGGTAATTTTTAATACAGTTAAGAAATACGACATTTTTATTTTGTCATTACAATTTTTTTTTGTATAAGTTATTAACAATTTTTAAAATATAATTGACTTATCAATCGCTTTAAGATAGCGTTTTGGGTTAACATTGTTGGTCATTCCATTAAAAATTTTTGGGTTAAACTGACCGGAAGTCCCTCCATTTTAGAGGGGGTGGACATGTGGCCTAGGACACCTTATACATATATCAATTTGCTCATGCTGCTCCAACAGTGACAATGGCCGAGTGTGCAAAGCACTGGCGTGCCATTTGAGGCCTCTCCTCCTCCTTCGAATTCTCGGGCGGCGGATTTTTTTTTTTTTGGTTGATTAAATTTTTCTTGTAATGTTTTTTTTTATATTTTATTGTTTAAAAAGAATATATATTTCTTTAATTTAATTTAATTATGAGAAACTCAAATTTTTTAATTTATATTTTTTTCTTTTTTATTTTTCTTTTTTAAGATTTTATAGTTTTAAATAGTATGTGTTTGATTAATTTTTTATGAACTTATTTTAATTTTCTTTTTTTCTTTAAATTTTTAGACTTTATTATTTAAGTATTTTTTTTTAATTCAATTTAATTTTTAGAATTTTCTACTATTTTAAGGTATTTTCTTTTCCTTAAATTAATTTTTTTTAAATCCAATTTACATTGTTTTAGAAGAAAAAATAAATATTTCTTAAATTTAATTTAATCTTTCAATTAGCCCTTCGAAACTTTCCGGAAGTTCCGGAAGTTGCCTTTCGTAAGACTGTGGGGAGTTGAAGGACAGTTACCAGAATTACCCCGTAAATAGAAATGTTGCAGTTTAGATGGAAATCAAACCTTTTGGAGTCCATAGACTTGGGAACCGCTGCATTATTTCATTGAATTTTTGAAAGCTTTCCAAATGTGTCAAGACATGCTCAGTGTCAATTTCAGTGTCAATTCAATGTAAACAAGTGACAACACCAATACCCACATAAATATACAGGGGTAGGCAAACACATGTTGAACGCTTAGAAAGCTATCTCTAGAAGAGCTTTATAAGCTTTTTTAAGGCAATGAAGGTGGAAAAGCAACAGAAAGTCAAAGGCGTGTTTGAACGCTGGTAGTAGCAGGTGTTGGCATTGCAGCAGCAGCGGCGGCAGCAAAACACGCGCATACGCATAGAGTACGTGACAGGAAATAAACACTTCCACATACATACACACAATCACCCCCAGGCAGCCAGCCGACTGGAAGTGTGCGAAGTTCATGTCGAGATGGCAGAGACGCTAGCAGTCGCAGTAGCAACCGCTGCGGCAGCAAACAAGGCAACATTGTGGAGAACAACGCGCGCCTCCAGAAACCGTTGAAATGCTGTGCTGCACAGCGAATTCAAATTAGTCTTGTGACAAGTGTTGGCTGCTAAAGTTGTTCTGGAATTTTAGTGAAAATGAATTAGAAATGTTTTTATTTTTTTTTGAACTTATTTAGCAAAAGCGCTGTTGACAAACAGTCTTGGAATTTCTACAGTTGCGATTAAAATAAAGGGAAATCGTGCGTGTATGTGATGATTTAGACTTCAAGTAGGCCCTCTGTGCCAAGTTTGGGATGTAAAAGATATTTTTGTGATATGAGAAATGTAAGAATTTATGAATTATTCACATAGAACTGAAAGTGAATGGTGGAGCGCTTGAGAAAATTGCAAACAAAAAGAAATAAACAAATAAAGCTTTGCCTTCGCGCATATATTTCGCAAATAAAGTACAATTTGTGCACAATGGAATGAGGCTGTAAATAAATTAATATCGTCCACTTTTAGTGTTTTGGTACTTGGAAGAATAAAAAAAAATTAAATTAATATATAAAAGACATCGTAATACATACTTAAGCATTGCGTCATAAAACACGCGTATTACGCGTTTGAAAACAAGCGAGAATGCATACAAAAAGAATTTATATATTTTTTTCCTTTTTGTACATTTGGAGGCGTGAAAAGCTACACCTCCTCGCTTGACTTATGCCTCTTTAGGAGTATTATTTGCTTATTTTGTTTGCAGCGCCGACAAAGAAAAAGATGCAAATCCGACGGAAAATGAGAAAATGAGTGAGAATTGTATTAAATAAAACAAGAAAGCAAAAAAAAAAAGAAAATATTTTGAAATTAGTGTGGACGTGTAAAAATACAAAAACACCTGCAAAAATATTTACAAATGTGTGTTTGTGAGTGGCTTATATATTTGCAAAACATAAAGGGTGTTTTTTTTAGGTATAGAACTTTAAATTGAAGTAAAATAATGAGAAACTTAAATTTTACTTAGGTTAGGTTAGATTGGGAGGCAGCCTCACTTAGATTTACAGCGCAGTTCTGACAACTGTCTTTCAGCTCACCACAGTCTTGTGAAAGACAAAAGTCTATCATATCAATTCTGGCAACTATGTATCCTGAAAGCTTCTCTCTTTTAGCGTTACTCAGTTTGTGTTTAATCAATAAGTTTTCTATAAATTAAATTAAATTTAAAAATCTATATTTTTTTCTAGTCAAAACAATAAAAACTACATATTAAATTTCTAAAAAAATTTAAAATATATTTTTCTTTTTAAAATTTTAAAATCTAAAAATTAAATCAAAAAAGGAAAGAAATAAATGAGTTCCTAAACATCAAATGAAATTAACAAAAAATATGTTTCTATTTAAAAAAATAAAGTCTAAAAAAAGTTTCTTAAAACACTGGTTTACAGCAAAAATGTTCAATGGATGCCACTATCCAATTTCTATGTAGAGTTGCTCGGTGATTCCGAAAATCGAGTTAATTTTTTTTCTATGGATACGTTTTCGAGATATTTGCCGTTATTCAGCTTAAAAGAAAAAGTGGTTCCACTTAATCACGTATATCTTACGAACAAATTTAACAATCTTAAAATGACATACGTCAAATAAAAGCTAATAAAATTCTCCATAAAACATCTATACATCACTTTCCGATAGGACGGATAGTTTCTGTTGTAATTTAAAAAAAAAATATAAAAAAAATCAAACTTTAACAGAAGAAAAACTTTTAAAATAACAGGTTCTGTGCCAAATTTTCGCATTTGTGCTAAAGCCTTTTCTGTTACAAAAAAAAAATAATCAAGTTCCTAATGAAGGAGGGATAAACAAAGAAGTAACGAGTGGTCATATTAAAATACGCAAGATTTTTTGTATTAAAAATGAGCAGGAAATAAAGTTACTCATACGCCACGTACACCTGAGTAATCCGCTTTTCTGCTCATACAAAAAATCTTTACGCATTTTCATTTGACTACTCATTACTTTTTAATTTATCCATCCAAGCTAACTTGATTTTCGGAATCACCGAGCAATTCTACATAGAAATTGGATAGTGACCAAACTAAAATTTGTGATCCAAAGAGATTAATTAAAATTAAAAAAATATATATATTTTCCTTCTTAACAACAAAATATAAATATTAAAAAAGAAACATAAAATATGTTTCTAAAAATTAGATTAAATTCAAAAAGCAAAAGACAAATCTCAACAAAAAAAAACCAATTGAGGAAGTGTAAGTTCGGGGAAACCGTTCTTTATATACCCGGCGTACGTGTTAAATATATATTTTTTTTACCATTCTGTAAACTACAAGATAAGCAAGGGTGTTTGCCCGATTTCAAACAGTTTTGAATTATGCTAATATTGAAATAATTGGATCAAATTTTGGTGGAAATCGATAAAGCAGTTATCTCTATACATAAGTGGGTGGTGCCCCGCCCCTTTTTCTAAATATCTATAATATTATTTCTAGTTAAGTGATTGATGAAAGTTGGAGTAAATGGGCGTCTTCAGTTACTGAAATAACGGAATTTTCGTATTACTGAAATTTTCCTTTATATGGGAAAAGGGCGTAGTTTTAATCCGATTTCAAAAATTTTCAATATGGCCAGAGTGTTCTGGCAGTTTGATAGATGGGTTCCACTTGCAATTTTTTATGCGCACTGTCTATGAATTTTTCATGTCAACTCTGACCACAACGGCCAGCTGTTGTCTATTGCACAAGTAAGCAAACAAAGCCGCGATAGCGAGTGGTGAGAGCTGCGTACTACAAATCCGTCGGACCCAGGTTCACTCCTAGGGGGAAAAAATATTCCGACGAAGTGATAACCTCCCCTTTTTTGGAAGCCGATTAAAAACGAAATGAAAATCACTAAAATCTGCCGTCTGCAAGGGTACAATTTTGATCAGATCAACTGCGTCGTTAATCCAGATCAACACTGCCGTCTGTCTATGCTATAAGATGATAACAGCGTTGCCAGAACTGACCAATTTGTGACCGCTTAATCGTTATTGGAAAATCAAACCTAAAAAAACACCCTTTATAAGCAGCACGCCATTTTCATTGCCACATGAACTGGCACTGACGCTGACGGCCACAGCGACGAGCCCACGCAGAAGGCGCGCGCGTTCGCAGTGTAAAAAAAAAAACAATAAAAAACATAATAAAAATCGGCGGCTTTGCCTCTTTAATACTTGTGCATACATACATACATATGCATGTATGTAGGTATATCTGTAATACATACATACATATAAACAAACAAATCTATTTTAATGTCACTTTAATTAGACAAATCCCATACGGATCTCCAGCGGCGACAGACAACAATTAACTTTGTGCTTAATTATTTTAATTGATGTCGTATTAAGTGTTAACTAAGCAACGCATAAGTGATTGTGAGCGTGCGTGCATGTGTGTGTGTGTGTGTGGTGTGCATTTTAAACACGCGCGCCCAAAGACAACCAGATAATCCGACAACCAACGAAGCAAACAAAAACACCAACCAATCAATCTACCCACCTCCTAGCATAAACTGTTAACCCACCAACTAAGTAATTACGCATTTGTTGAGTAACTACTCATAGCCAGTGCTCAACAGCAGCTCATCATAAGCTCTCTACATTGCTCACTTGCCAACTCTAACCACACAAACACACTTACAACGGCCCCGCCAGCGCTATGGGTATTAAGGATAAAATACGCGTGCTGAAGAATGGCACCAGCCCCAGTCAAAACCAAAGCCACGAGACAGCCGTTACACCACCAACGAAGGGCCTCGATCTATTGAAACCACATTCCAGTCGCAATTTGATGACTCCGGGACAGGTCACCGAACAGACATTGCAGGTGTGGCGCGCTTTGCCACCACAAATACGACACGATCCCAGTATGGTGTCCTTTCAATTGGAAAATGAGCGATTACATGGTAGGTAGACAAATGAGAAACATATTTGCATATCTATTTATAACTAACGTACAGATATATATGTATGTATGTATAAGTTGCAGCCAAGAAAAAGTGCATTATTTTTTGTCTTTTTTTTTCGTTAGCTAAATTAATTGATGCAACTCTTTGAAAGGCAACTATGCAACACTAATTAATTACTTGAAACTACGCGCGTGCAGGTTTGGTATTTTTAGTTGCTTCGGAAGTAGTTTTTCACTGCGTATTATTCGCAAAAGTATAAAACGTTATTAAAAGTTACTTTGTAAGGCTTTGAGGAAGGGCTGAAGCAAATTGCACTTAATGAAACGGTTTAGAAATGCATGTGTTTTTAGAAGAAAACAAAAGAACGTTGATCAAGAGGAAATAATGGGATTATCTAAAATCTACTAAACCCATAAAATGAAAGACTCAAAAAGAGTGAAGGTACAGCAGGCCTCTTGAGCGAATCCAGCTTTGTGGTTTGGTCCTTTTTAAGAACTTTTATCTCCTAGTCATTTTACCCAAGATTTCAATAGATACCAATGCAGTAGTATTTAAAGGGAGCCCTTTTCGCAAAGTGAATTAGCTTTTTGTGCCCTATTGTCCTAAACTCTAACTGTAGTCACTCCTATCTTAGGCTTTTTAAGAAATTAAGCACATTGAAGGGTGCCGTATTCCAAATTTTGAATAGAGAAAATAATTGTTCCCCAAGGTGTATCAGTCTGCTATTCATGATACGTGGGCAGTCACAAAGAATAGTTCTGAGGTTTCCTCCATCAGCCCACAAAACCTGCAGTCCGTCTCTACAGGAAAGTCCATTTTGTTAAAATTATACCTTAACTTGCAGTGTCCTGCCAGGTCTCTGCAAGAGTTCTTAGGCCCTCCCGGCTAAGTTCAAGGAGTCTTTCTGAGTTCCTACTGGAAGCAGTTAAGAATTTCTTTGATTGTCTCATTCCCTTTGGCTTTCCCCAGTGGGCAGCAATTTGAGATTCCTCCCTACTCCTAGGCAGTTCTTCAGCGACCCACCACAGTGTCAGTCTATTATGGGCTCACATGATGTGGAGAAGAGTTTTACAACTGTACACAAGCCTTGATGTCATTCTAAATGACCCTAACAGCCGGTTTCACCAGCAATTTAAATGGAATGTCAATTTCCATATAAAATTAAAAAAAATTAAAATAATTTTTCACCAAATCATTTGTCGCCATGTGAAATTTCCATGGAAACCTGGTCTTTTATAACAGGAAACGTATATCGTTACTCTTAAGTTCAAACAGAAAATAAATGTACTTCCTGTGAAGACAATTACGGGCCACTTCCTTCCTTAAAAAATTATCAAAACGCCGGACGTCTTGAGCAACGTTGCAGGTTACCTGGTTCGTTCAAATTTTATTAAAAAAAATTAAGTTTTGAACTCAACGTACCTGGGGTTTCCAAGCTGCCGTAATGGGGTTGGATTACACCTGCTATGCCCTTCGGTTGTGAGCTGTTTCGACCATAAGGTGGCTAAGTAGTGCCATAGCTTTAATTGAAGCGTAAGTATTTGCTGGAAAAAGCGCACCGTCATCATGGTAGCGATCCCCTGTAATCGGCTAAGTAACTCCTGAGATCGTACGGTATCGAAAGCACTCGATTCACCAATGGACTTTACAAAAGGTTTTAGAAAGGTTAATACTCCGTTCAGTACATACTTGCCTACATACATATGAAATGGAAAGGAATGGGATTAATGGGTACTTAAGACCTAAAAGAAAGGGATATATAAGTGGGGTGGGAATTCATTGCTCCTCTGCAAATTTACCACGACTCCTTTATGAATCTTAGTAGTTTGTTGAGGGAAAGAGTCGCCGCCCTGTCCTCCAACATATCTCTGCCTGCAACAGGAATTAACCTGCTACCCGGAAAATGGGTTACCAAGAGAATTTTGTATGTATATAGCACCAGATTTTCTGAGTTAGTACACCCTAACCGTCAGGTCCTTTTGATGTAACTTACACAGCCTGGCAGACTCTTTCATGAAGTGTCTATAAGAGCTTAATTTTGTCATGCGAATTTGCCTTTTCTTTTTCTGTCCCTCCAAATTTAAGGGCGTTAACCCAGGAGACCCCTCCAAGTCCACAGATATGCCCGCGGCATACCCAGGCTCCTGAATTGGGATTATACTTATATAAAGTGGATTGAGAAAGTACCAAGTATATTACTCAATCGAAAAAAAAACATGACATATTTTGTTGGGGATGACCGAATATTTATTTGTCAAAATTACACTCTCTTTACTATATTTGAAGGAATGCTTGATATGAAAAAATATCGTCGATAAAAAATCGACAGATGCACAGCTTCGTTTATAAAAATAAGTCTATTTCATAATATCAGGCGCTAAAATTTGTACATACATACATATTTATGTAACTAATTACTATTTTTTAATTAGTTAATATAATAACACTATGATTCAAAAAGAAGTTTGTTAAACCTAAATCTACAATTCATTCTTGATTTTCTTGCTGAGACTGCGTTTAGTTACTTTGGTAGCATCGGCACATTTCATAGTGATGGTTGTACGAATTTCGCGATCCGAATACTTTATCTTACTTTGCACACAATGAATTATATCGGCTACTTTTAATGGATCCAACTGTCGCTTCGGTGGACGCTCACGGCCACGGAATGCTGGCGAAGGTTTACCGCTGAGCGTATGAGTTGCTAGCGTGTCCCGATCGAATATAAGTGACAGCAGTGAACGCGTAGCAATTGTTGGCACGCTCCAATTGATATTTTCGAAAGCGTCCCTCAAAACGGTTGTACCATTTGGACCTATTGTTAGGGTGGTTGGTTTCTCCTCTGTTGTAACTGCGGGCGGTAAGTCCGGTGTTATTGTCAGATATTCCGTAGCGACTGCAGCTGTGTTTGGTTCCGCTTTAATTACAGGGTTTATTGGGGGTTCTTCCTCTTTGTTGATTGATCGCCTCTTGGCCGCAGATTCAGCAGGGTAAATGAATATTTGTACCATAGGCATTAATTGGTTTATGGACGTTGGAGCCTGTAGTGCTATCATTGCTTCGGCAGCTGAAGATCTCACATTGCTTGTGGGTGCCGCTGTGGGGCTACGTCGCTGTTCATGATCAATTTCTGCTAGACGTCGACGTTTTTTACGGCTACTATTGGTCCATGATTCGAAATCTAGTCTGCGTTTTAAATGCGATATCCCTGTGAACGGTGTTTCCGAAATCGAATTTCTTTCTTGGTTTCGCTCAGTTTGTGTTACTTGCAGTACTCGCAGATCCATTGGCGTCTCAAGCGACTGTAGTGTTTCGGCGTTCTCGGCGTGCGTTTTTCCAAATATGCGTAGATCTATTGGAGTCTCAGGAAATGCTTGAAGTCTATCAGCTGCCATGATCGAATCCAAGTCAAGCGACGGTGAGTTGATGATGTTGGCCATAGGTTACGGAGTTGTTTTAAAACCTTTACTTTACTCTGTTGTGTTTAATTTAATTTGGTTCAAGTAGTTCTGCAGTAAATGGCAAGTAGCAACGTCTTTTATACCTTTTCTCGTATGTACTACTTATTTCAGTTGATTAGTTTCAAAGGCAGCCGCTACCTGTAAAAATTACCTTTTAGAGAAAAAGGTGTTGTGAAAACTCTATACCTGTTAAGTGATTAACCGCAGCATTGTGGTCAGTGTCCAAATGACCTTCGAAAGCTTAGAAAAGAGTTTTCGCTGAGAAGGCAATTAAGCCCATTTACGGGGAAACTCTACATTCTTTTTCTGCGGTACATAGGTGCTATCAAAAAACTATTATTTACTGATGCACATTCATATGCTCGTACGGCGCGTATTTTTTACCTGTGCGCGAAATTTTGGTATAAATCAGGTCAGCCGCTACAGAAATTAACGGTCAAAAGAACGTGTAGATTGTTTTGATAGTTAAAAGTGGTCACTTACTTGAGTACCTATACTTTGCTTCGATAAATTCAATCCGTCTTTTTCGGCAAATGTGAAATAATATTATCGAATAACCCAAACCGTGGTGCTCAACAATGAACTATTAATGCGGGATTGCCTGAAGTGAACGTACTCTTTGTACAGCTTTTTTTCTGATAACTAGGTGCTCGTTCTGTACCTTATATGTAACTCTATTTGAAATTTGGCTAATAGCTTTTCAAACACAATTTTTCTTCTTCGTTTCCTTTAATCTCAAGCACTTTTAGCTCCGTCCAGCTTAATCCGAGTTGATTCGCCTCTCGATCGACTAATCTTCTCCACCTTTCACGTGGTCTGCCGGAAGGCCACGCATTTTTTCATACAAAGTATGTGCGACAATTTTATTTTGACAAACAAAATTGCCAAATTGCCGATTTTGTAGCAAGTTAAAACTTGCACTTTATTGTACTAAAATTGAATGGGTCATAAAACTGCATACTCAAAATCTTTAAAAAAGTATTAAAGATCCATAATTTGGGAGATTTTTTGAAACATTTAGGATCTTGGAGGGACCAAAAATACTATCCGATCGGAAAATAGTTTAACACAGTTCAATGTGATCATGTTACGCAAGTTTTTTGCACTATCATAATTTCAGGTATCGAAAAATTTATATATTTTTTTGCTCCAATCTACAACGTTCTCAGCGGCTATGTGAACTAGCAAAACTGCCGATTATCGAAAATCATCCTACAGTAAAAAATATTTTCTTACGTTTTGCGATTTTTTTATTTTTATTTTTGTAAATTTTGTACGAAGTTTGAAATGAGGATTTATGTGGTGCTGGTTATACATATGATGTGCTAGACTTTTATAAAAATATTAAAAACATTAAATAAACAAAAGAAAAATAACCAAAACTCGTCAAAATGTCATACAACTTAATCAGCTGACCACAAGTGTATATGGGCCGTTCCATACCAAAACGGACGGGGTTCACACTTCATGTGTTTGATTTGTTTAAAATTTTTAGGGTTGATGGTTAAAAATAAATAATAAATAAATATGAAATTTGAGCTTGATTAATACATTTTTAAAAAACTTTACAGCACAAAAACAAAAACAAATCAATTTCATAGTTGGAGGTGAGGAAAAAATTTGAAAAAAATGTCACATACACACATCAAAATCCTCTATGAAAAGAAATATAAAAATTTTTTTTTCGTGAAAAATTTTTCACATACACATTTTTTTATTAAAAAAAAATAGTTTTTGAAAACATGCCATCTCAGAAAAAATTCAAAAAAAAATTACAATGGTAGCTCTGAGTATTACTCAATATTTAAGTATAGCATTATGGGGTGCAATCTACAATAATTTGAGTTATGAAATTTACAAATTTTTTAAATTTTTATAGAAATTTTGAATCCCGTCCGTTTATACATATATCATACATATTATTCGGAAACATACATACGCATGTGCCTAAATATGTATTTCCCTAAATATGTATGCTTATTAGATACATTTACATATGTATGTGTCTAAATTGCATCTCGTATCGGTAGATATGCATCTCTAAACGCAAAGCGTTAACTTCAAATACAACATTTCCGTTCAGATAATAAACGATTGAAATTCGAGCCGATTGTGTTGAGAACTTTCAAATACAAACAAATCGAATGGAACAGTTGAATGATGTTAATGAATGCTTGCAAACCTTACGGCATATTTGGTTGTTGATTAATACAACAACTTTTGTGCAATTAAAAATGCTAACGCGATTTTCTTTTGTTATTCCCACGCTTATGCGGTAAACGTTAGCAATATAAATATCCACTCAAACATTACATTAGCGGAGGAAATGACAAATTACCAAGCGAATGATGTGAAATTGAAGGTTAATTATCGAATTTTTCGCATAAATATAGGATTTTTTGTGTACACCACATATCTACATACATACAAGCCCACGCATCAACGGCCATAAATTATTATATTCATAACTGTCAATTGAAGCAGTCGCATGAATCCTTATTCAACTGCACACCTCCTGCAGTGCCACTTATTTATATATGTATGTATGTCGACCGCTGTGGTAAGCAGTGCGCGCTTTCACTCATCAGCACCTGGGTTCAAGTCCTGGTCAAAGCAACATCGCAAAAAATTATAGAAAAAGGTTTTTTCTTAACAGCGGTCGTCCCTCGGCAGGCAATGGCAAACCTCCGTGTGTATTTCTGCCATGAAAAACAGCTTCTCATAAAAATACAATCGCCGTTCGGAGTCGGCGTAAAACTGTAGGTCCCTCCGCTTTGTGTGACAACATCAAGGCGCACGCCACAAATCGGAGGAGAAGCTCGGCCAAACACTAACATATATGCAAGCGCCAATCTATTATTATTACTATGTATATGAAAGACAAGTGTCCTTCCAAATTTTCCTTTAGGCAATGTTTATTTGTTTTTGCTTATTATCGTAGGCTAACAGGTACGTGTTTATGATGCTATTTTCGTTCTTTGTTTTTTTTCTTGGTATACAGTGAATTAAATTTTTATTTGTAAATTGATCGCAGTCATTTTTTTTGCGTGCGGAAAAACTCATTGCATTTTTCATAGCTTCTTATGACCACGTTTACACGTAATATTTTCGTGAGTGAAAGATGAGATGGAGAATAAATAAGTATTGAAATATGGGCTGCGGAAAAAGTAATTTAATTTTTTATTACAACGAAACCTCTGATTGCCGTAATCGTAAAGGAGAATTAAAATGAATTCGATTTGTTTCATGATCCAACGCACAGTGTTGCGCCCTCATACAGTGAATCGGCAAAATTAGGGGAGTTATCGCATGCATAACGGACGCCACACAGTTTTGGTTCATGAAAGGATTCAGGATTTTACGCATTATCATTTTAAGAGTTCTGAGCTCACGGTAGTTGGTATAAACAGCGAAATCTCCTTTCTTGTGGATTGGGAAAAGTATCTACACTGAGTTTTCAATCTTCTTTCACATAATTATTAAACCAAATTTGGCTTAACATGCGCCCTAACAGCTATTCGCCGCCTCATTTGAACAGCTTAGTCTCTAAGCCGTCTGCTCCAGGAGCTTTCTTGTTTCAAGTCCGGTTATTTCTGTTCTCATTTCATCGTCATCAGTTGGTCCGGGTTCTTCTTCATCAAACGCGCCACCTGTGTCGAATGTACTGTGTGGACGTCTCTTACCCGATTTCCATATTCATTTTTGCAGGAACTATCCGCGGTCGTAAACGTATCTGACAACGCTTTGGACGATATATATGCCGATATCGAAACCATTTGATTGCGAGTTATTTTCTAATAGCATTTTTCGAGCCGAATTACTGCCTGCCGACAACTCAAGTTGTTTGCTCCCTCCTCCTAACCCAATCTACTCTTATCTAGTTTAGGCTTAGTACAGTTAATTTAGACCTTCGAAATTTCTATGTTCTTTAGCTTTTTTTTCTAAGAATGAAGTTCATTCTAATTTGTTTGCAACTTTACAGGTTCCTTAGTACTAAATACAGATGATGAGTCCGGCAATCCCCATGACATCGAGTCGAGTTATGAAGATGAACATAGCTTTGCAGATTCGGAATATATAAATATGAAAAAGCTATCACAAGGCCATAATACAGCCGACGAACGAAGGTAAGAAAGGATCGTTCGCAAGCTAAAATATTAAGAATTCACTGTACGCCAATTTTTTCCACAGCACCGACGGCGAATGTACACTCTCGGACATCGAAAGCTCGACCAACGACAAATCCAAAGCGGTTGTGACGCGCGTAGTGGCTCAACAAAAGTCGAAAGAACGACGTAAGCGTGAGCGGCTAATAAAACGTAGTGGCTTGCTGATATTTTGGCTATTCGCTGCAGTGGTTTTGATGATATTCGACGAGAAGCATTTGCTGGAGAAGACATTGGAAGTGCCGTGGAATAAAACGAAAAGTTGGTGAAAGAGTTTTTTTAGACACGCTTTTACTCATCTATTAGAAGAAACGTATGGCTCACTAATTTCCATGTTTTTCCAATTTTCCTCTAACTTTTAGACTTTGTGCTGCCGCAAAATCCCACCGGTGACTTCAAACTCAAAATCTTCGGCACTTTCAATGAGACCATGAGAATGTATCACCATGACGATGATGGAAAATTTCTGTTTGTGCAACCACAGTTGTCCTACCATGACAAAGTGAATAATCGAAAGGATTATAAGGTAGTGCAGCTGTAGAGTAAAAATGAAGTAACTCATTTTAAATCCTTCCTTCACCAAACAGAACATTCTGCAACCCTGGCTAATACCAATCGTTGCGGAAACGCTCTTCGAAGTCGCGCCGGTCGTTTGGCGTAATCAAACATACGAAATGCCGGAAAATATTTTGCGTAAGCTAAAAAAGCCCGGCGCGCAGATGCGTCTGAGCATGTACACTAATGCGGAGAAGGACTTCGCCGTAGAATTGGTCTACAATCCATTGATAATCAATAAAAAGACTGGCACGCTGCTCGCTTCGGGTATTTTATTGATCTTCTATGCGTTGCTCGTGTGGGAGGTGAGTCGTAAAGATGTGATATTTACGAAAACAAAAGTTTAATTCTTGAACAAAATTGTTCCGCAGGTCTTCCAGCGCACCTTTGTGGCCATCATTTGCTCTATACTCTCCGTCGCTGTGTTGGCCTGCTTCGACGATCGCCCAAATATGGAGGAGATCATCGAATGGATGGATATGGAGATGTTAACGCTGCTATTTTCTATGATGATTATAGTTGGCATCTTAGCAGAGACGGGTGTTTTCGATTACATAGCCGTGTTGGCATTTGAGATATCGGGCGGTAAAATTTGGCCTATGATATATTTTCTATGCTTTATAACTTGCTTTGTATCGAGTTTCCTGGATAATGTGACTACAGTTATTCTGATGACGCCGGTGGCGATTCGGTAAAGTTGGGAAAAGTTTGAAGTTTTATGAAGAGGTGACCACTTAAATGTACATATGTATATTTTTTAGACTCTGTGAGGTCATGAGCTTGGATCCAGTTCCGGTCCTGTTGGGCATTATTGTGCAATCGAATATTGGCGGCTCGTTGACACCCATTGGTGATCCAATTTCGATAATCATTTGCTCGAATCACTTCTTTACGAAAAATGTAAGTGAAAAAAAAACATTAATAGAAAGCTATGATTTGAACCAGTTTACAATAAAATAAGATGAAAATACACCGAGTTAAATATCAATAGCGATGCCGCTAAATTCCGCATGTTACAGTTAGTTAAAAGTATAGGAACAATGTTATCGATAAACATTTTGATTATTCACCGATAACTATAACGACAGTTATTCGATAAACATATTGATAATTGAATGATACTGCATCCTTAACGTTAGCGGCAAAAATATCGATATCGATACCGATAACAATATCAATTGCAATTTTGATAGAAACCGAATGCGACTGATTGATTGATAGTCTCACCAATAAACATGTCGATAACTATACCAATAAAAACATTGATAATTTCAAGATAAACATATCTATAACTCTAATGACAAACATATCGATATCGATAGTGACATCCATAACAATATCAATCGCAATTTTGAAAGAAAACGAATTCGGCTGATTGGTTGATAATCTCACCGATAAACATATCGATAAATGTACCGATAAACACCTTGATAATTTACTGATAAACATATCGAGAACGTAGTCAGCCTTATCCTTAGTTTAGCCCGAAAAAAATTCACCGAAATCTTTCCATCCGACCGTAGTGAATACATATAAGCGAAAAGAGAAAAGTGAACGATTTCGGGCGAAAACGAAACTCATGTTCGATCTAAATTTATAACGATATCGATGACAATAACAATTGTAATTTTTATAGAAAATTAATGCGATTGATTGTTTGATAATTTCGTCTATAAGTATTGCAATAACTTTTAAAATAATTCACCGATGTATACATAAATGACTAACGGAAAACTTATCGATATATTTTAATAACATCGATAACAATATTAAGAGCAAGAGGATTTATTGATAATTTCAACAATAAAACTATCGATAACTTCAACACTGAACATATCGATAATTACAACGATAAGCAAACATATCGATTTATATTTAACAACATCGATAACAATATCGATAGGAATTTTGATTGTAAGGGTAATATAACAGTGAATTTAGTGATTATGCATAGGAAACTTCTCGCAAAGGATTTCAATAATACAAGTAATGCCGATAAACGTTTCGATCAACTTATCGGTAAATACATATGAATGTATAAAATACACAGATGTCAGTATCGATAGCGATATATCTAAAATATATCAGAAATTATGCCAATATAAGTTTCGATAACAATACTGATGCATGTGTGCATCGATACTATACAAACACAAATAAAGCTATATGGAATTTCGGTAGGATTTCAATAAATGTGCAGACATTGATGACAATAAATATATATGTATGTATATCTATTATTATGCCAATAAATTTAACTTTACTGAAAATATATCGAAAACGATATCGCCAAGGAGTTCGATAATAATAACGAAAACATACCCCAAATACACCGTAGATAAACACATTTAAAAAACCAATCACAATAAATTTTTCGATATTGGAATTGTTATCGAAATATTTATAATATCAAAAAAAAAAGTTAAATTAGAATCTGGTGAACATAATTTTATTTGGAATGTCGATTAAATTTTTCATAAACATGTGATATCAATATCGATAATAGTAAATGTGTCGAAAACCATGATGACTGTCGATAAACATAATTAGTAAAAATAACGATAATATATTGAACGACATATTGTTTCAATAACCACACCGATATCAATAGGTATCGATAATATACAAATATTTATCATTACTGGTATATCGATAACTACTTATATCGAAAAGTCCATTTATATCGATATCGACGCTCCATTGCTAAAAGTATTCAACTCGAAACCCGCTGATGGTAGCAGAGGATGAGAGAAGTCCCTACTGCGATGGAAAGACCAAGTGGAGGAGGACATTGGCATTTCCAATTGGCGTCAAGTTGCAGAGAAGAAAAAACGTCTGGCGTGCCTGTTGAGCTCGGCCAAAATAGCTAAGGCGGTCACAGAAAAAGAAGAATGTGGCCGTTTTAGTTGCTATACGAGTATTTATCAGTATCGATAATGAACGAAATAAAGCGCTACATACAAATAGACATACATAACTATTTCGTGAGAGCTGCATTACTTTTCTTTCAAGTATTCCACTTGTTTCCCCCCTTACAGGGCATCACATTCACCAAATTCGTCGCCCACACTCTACCCGGTGTTCTACTCACTTCCATACACAGTTGCATTTACCTGCGCTTCGCCTTCCGCGACCCGCAATCGCTGCGGCTCAACGAACCCAAAGAGTTCAAGGACCTGCGACGTGAAATCAAAGTTTGGCAACGTGCCGCCAACTCACTCTCCTCCTATTCCAAAGATGCTGACCTCGTGCGCGCCACCTTGCACAAGAAAGTGAAATTGCTAAAGCGTACGCTGCGCCGCAAGCAACGTGGCCTCGATTCAAACGATGCCTACACCCATACGCTGCAAGAACTTAAGCTCAAGTATCCCATCAAGCATAAGATGTTGCTGATGCAAACTTGTGGCGCTTTAGCCTTCGTACTCATCTGTTTCTTTGTGCAATCGGTGCCGCAATGGCGTACACTGCCACTCGGTTGGCTAGCACTGCTTGGCGTTATTGGATTGCTGATTGTTTTGAATCGTGATGATATGGAACATTTATTGCATCGCATTGAATGGACGACGCTTTTGTTCTTTGCCGCCATGTTTGTGATGATGGAATGTGTGGAACGGTTGGGTCTCTTCGCATGGATTGGCGAAATTACGAAGCGGATTATATTGTTTGTCGACGAGCGACATCGTTTAGCAATGGCTATATTTATTATTTTGTGGATATCGGCAATGGCCTCAGCGGTGTTGGATAGCATACCGGTGACGGCTATGATGGTGCGTGTCGTCGTATCGCTGGTGAGTAGGGAAACATTGGGACTGCCGTTGGAGCCGCTCGTCTGGGCGCTGACATTCGGTTCGAGTTTGGGAGGTGAGCTAGCAATGTAGCTTCATTGAAATTTGTAAAACATTTTCTTAAACTCCCAGGCAATGGTACTTTGTATGGCGCTTCCTCCAATGTGGTCTCGGCTGGCATCGCCGAACAACATGGCTATAAGATAACATTTACACGCTACTTGAAGTGAGTATAGACACTTGATTGGCGTTATTAGTTCTTCCTAATTACTTTCTTACATTTTTCTGCACAGAGTCGTATTTCCCATGATGGTCGGCCAAATTATTATCATCACCGCTTATTTAATGTGGGCACACATTCTCTTCGAATGGCATGAGGATTAATTAAGGAACCTATCTAGAGGCCAAAGAATCTAAGTATTCAATTAAAAGCTAAGAGCTGTTATTTAGTAAATACATACATGCATACATACGTAACTTGTTCTACGCAAACATTATCTAAATATAAGATTAAAATATCTACCTACCTATCTACCTATAGTTATGGAAAATGATTTCTATGTGCTTGGGAGCTCAGTATTTTTTAGGTTATATGTGTGCGTACTTTTTCGCTTTTCGAAATTTTATCTAAAATCTAAGCTGAATTTACATACACATTTATGTACATATTTATGTATTATACACTTATGGTGTACGTATGATTTTATTTGGATTCCATACAGATTTATAAACATGTGAACAACTTTTTGATTGTGATTTTAGCGAGCAAATGATTTATGGCGTTTTCTTTTTTACCGAAAAATTATACCCCGTGATTGCGCACTTCGCACGAATATATGTATACTAAGTAGGAATGTTAATTCCGGGATGCCGAACTTTTTTAGGCTCCGAAAATCCCTGGATTCTTGGCAAATAACCCGGGATTTTCGGGATTTGTAATTTGCACTGTTGGTACTAATAGAAACTTATTTTTCTTTTCCAGTATTGGCTATATTTCTTTTTGTTTTATTTAATAGCTAATATTTTTTTATAGATCTCTAGCTCATTATACATATAACACGGCATTTTTGGTTTTTCACTCCGACGTCAGTAGTTCAAAAATGATTTAAAAAATTCGGTGAAATGTGCCTAGAGAATAAATATGGGTATCAAATTAAAGAGCGAATTCTGTAGAATTTAAACAGATTCAATATTTTGGTGCATAAGGCCTGGTAAGGATTGAACATGTCCTTGTAAAATTTTATCCTTTGGCAATATTTGTTTTTGAAAAAATTATATGTCAAGGACTTATATAAACTCGATAACATCCTCGAATTTTGCCCTCAGCTTAAAATTACCTATTCATCCTTGTGAATCCAAACAATTTAATTTTTTTTTTTAATTCTAAGAAAATTCCCTCTTTCGTTTGGTACCCATATCTTTATTCTACATTGCATTGAGTTTTTTAAATAATTTTTGGAATTATTCATATCTTTGAAATTACAAGATCCTTTAAAATAAATCCTGACGTCAGAGGAAAAATAAAAACGCCACTTTAAATAAAGAAGTTTGTTTCAACCCCATTTATTTATTATTTATTTTATGGTGGGAGAGCTTCTCACACAATATAGAAAAAAAAATTTCAATATAAGTTGTTGAAAATTAATGAATTTCTAAATCCCGGGATTGTGATAATGACATCCCGAAAATCCCGGGATCGTAAAAAGGGAAAAAATTAACATCCCTAATACTAAGTAAGCCGAAGGCAAGGAACTGGCGAATGTTTTTTGTTAAAAAAGGAAACGCCATAAGTAACCAGTATATAAACTTTAAATCAATAAAGAATAATCTCATTGTTTTTATTTTGCGTTTTCTTTTTTACTTGTTAATTACTTACCTGAAGTTAGTAGTGTACTTTAGTTAACCCAGACGAAGGTTACATTTGGACCGTATCCCCATACAAAATTTCTCACTGTGCACCTCTACACACTATCCTGTAGATCTTCCGAAGAAAGGCTCAGGACAATGTAAGCGCATTTGAGCTCCACGCTTTGCGAAACGGTCAGCCCTTTCGTTGCGTTCAAACCCTTCATGTCCCGGAACCCACCACAACATCACGCTATTGTGGGCTGCCAGGTGGTTCAAAAGAGTTTTTCAGCTGTCCATAAGCTTTAATGCTATTCTGACTATCCGAAATAATACTTATTCTGACCCCTGTTGTCCTTCTACGAAGACAATCGGGTTGGGTATGTGCCCATTTGGAGACTCTTCTGGAATCTTAGTCCAAGTACGCCTGCCCAGTAATCCCGTCGTCCATCAATTGAAGTTATTATCGCTTCCCAGCAGTTCTTTTCAGGAATTCTTACCCTGAAGGGTTTATAGAACTATAACTTTGGTAGCATAAGGTCCGTGAGCTTGATAGCGAGGTCATCCAGAAATGGCTTGAGAACCTCCAAATGACCACGAAGATCACCACTGATCATGCTGAATGTAGTGGGCAGCCATACGGCGCTCCAGCAGGCCTCTCTGAAGTCTGTGATTCGAGAAATGTGGGTTCCAATTTAGTATTTTGTCCAGAGGTACACTTAGATACTTCGTCTCTTGTGAGACTTCAATTTCTGTCCCACTCAAGGTATGTCTAGTCATGTTAACTTTCCTAGCTCTGTTGTAAAGTTACTTATCTACTGAGGGGATAAACTCAGAACGCAGAAAGAACTAGGTAACGGTCAAAACCAACAACGTTTTTGATATGAACATATACCGAATCGGTTTGAATAAAGACGATGAGACTTCCCAGTAAATTCTCTGTAACTGTTTGGTTCCGGTCAGACTAAGATTGGTGAATTTCTCAGAATTCTTTGCAGCAGGTTGATTGCTGAACTATTTAGAGATTGAAACGTTTCGGGCGAAGGCCATCAGGGATTCGTAGTTTGACTTTCTCGCACAGAAAAACAAATTGGAAGCTTTTCAAAATTCAAGTCAACCTTCGAGCAGATTCGCTGTTAGCTTTCATAAACTTAATTGATGAATTGGAGGTGACAGAGAGTGTACTAAATAATGTTTTGTGAAATCATCCAATAACAGCACAATGGGATGACACTCCTAAAAGGGCAACATGAGTACTTGTTGATATTAGTCACAGTTGAAGCATTGGTGCTATAGCACAGTGTCCTGTCCTATGAAGACGCCGTAGAGAGCTCTTACTGCAGATATATTGAGTTTCAGTATGTCCTCCGTCTTTTTCCTACAAATCCGCTGTGATCTACAGTTTGTTCTACAAGTTATTAGTCGCGGCCACGGAGTATTCATAAATTTTCCTAACATGATCACTAAACGGTGGAAGTACAGAGCCATCGGCTTCTTTTATTGGCACCCCTGAGCCGCATCTGGCCATCGCATCAGCCGACTCACTCCTACATGTCCGCGGACCCAGCATTGAGTGACGTTAATACGGCTCAGTGACGCCAGCGTGGTGCGACATTTCCATACAATTCCCGATTTTACTCTTTTACATTCTATGACATTCAATGCGGCTTGACTGTCGACAAAAATAGTGCCTTTGTCTTCTGGAACTCGGCTACATAGTAAAAGACTAGCCGCGCTCTCTTAAGCGTAGATTTCTGCTTGCAAAGGCGAAAGGACCGTCTGATCTGAAGGTCCTTTGAGTAAACACCGGTTCCGGTTCCTTGCTCCTTCCTTGAACCATCAGTGTAGATAGATATACCCCCTTCTGCTACTGGCAGTCCTGCATTCCCTTCTTTTCTGGTCGGGAACCTAATGGGTTCCTTCGTATTGAAGCTCTATATAGGTGTAATGTAATTAGTGCTGGCTTGGGTTACCCTTGAAGGAACCATGCTTGAATACTCTGACGAAGTCAAATATCTTTAGGTTACGGTAGATAAAGGACTGTGTTGGAGTCTTCTGGGCAAAGCTCTTTGGAACGCTACCCGGGGCTGACGAGAATTGCTGAATTGTTTTTCATTTGCACAAGCTAAACATTTGAAGGCATGCATGCGTAGTCGGCAGTGGCTGAGCGTGCAGAGGAGTGTGCTGCTATTTGTTAGCATCCAGGAGGTGCCGGGTTCGAATTCCGTCAGGCGTTTTCTACTTTTATTTTGATTCTTTTGAACCTTGAAAAAGTATCTGTGAAGTGCAGAAGGAAAGCGTATTGAACGAAAAATTAATTCTCGGATCGGTTTTCGGATTTTTTACTGACTGGGTAGCGGTGTTCATTGCTTCAGTAGGCGCCCATTGAATTTACTTTACATTAGGTACATTCTTAGAATTAGGAAGTTCTTTTCTAGGCAAATATGTACATATGTAAATATTTATTTGCACCAAGTAAACAAATAAACAAATACACTTATGGATTTAGACACATTTTTCGGATTTTCATTGTCTTCCTCAAGTGTGCTTGCCACTTTTTCTCCACTACTACGACAAACAAATGTATTAACATATTTCCTGCTTACATGGAAATCATCCATACATATAAAAAAATAGTAAGACACTTTTCCTCTCTTTATATCTGCAAGTAGGTATGTTCGTACATATTTAGTAAAACCACTTACAAATGTTTATGAGAAATATGTATGTCCATATTTTGTATTAGCGTTTTGCGTGTGGCTACAATATTTTTTTAATGGAGGAGGGAAACTAACGTCATCGCCTAACAAGAGACCATTCTGGCAATGTTAACAGCTCTGGTGCTCCGTCTTGGCTGGTCAAATTATTAGTCTGTCATGGCATTTCGTTGGCGAAAATTCATTAAAATTTTCGCTTTCATATTCGCAAGAGAAACAGATCGCAATAATGATTTTTCAATTTTTATCAAAACACTGCCGCGAGTGATGTTTGGCCATTTATATCAAAAACGATATAAGCAAATATTTTTTGCTGTGAGTTGATTGAACGACGCGCGCAAGTGAATATATATATAGTATTAGCATTACAGCAATTGTAAAGTGTTTCCTTGTATGTTTGTAATTAATTTCCGACATCAGCTGCCAAAATTTAATTAGATTAAGCGTTATTTTTACGAAACAATCGAAAGTGTTATGTGTGAGAATGAAAATGGCATGGCTACAATCAATGGCACATGCAATTCTGAAAATTTCTGAAAGTTCGCGAATTCTAAAGCAAAGTTAAAAATTGAAATTTTTTGGTTTAGAAAATGTCTGCACTTGCGGTTAGATTAAGTTTTTGTGAAAAAGTGTATTGAAATAATTGAATCTGCGTCATGGAAAGCCTTAACTCTCGTCCCACTTTTCGCATCACAGATAATCTCAATGAAGATCATGATTTAAGTTCTTATGCTGCAATCAACTACGAGTGGGAGGAGGAGGATGATGAGGTGGAGCGCAACACAAAAATACAGGAATTAATGCTGCGCATACGCTCTTGGGCGCGTTTGTCGAGAAATGACGGGTAAGTAAGTTTTAATAGAATTTTATTGATTGGAAATGTAATGGATTTATTTGGTAAAGACTATTCTAACTTTAACCTCCAATGATATGTACATATGTACATAGATTCTTGATGTAGAATAAAAATATAATAATTACGATAGTCAAAAAAAGACACGATAAATTCATATTTCAAACCTTGTACAAAAATTATTAAAATTCAACAAAATTAACCAAAATTCCAAACTTTTTTTTGTAGGCTAAAGAGTAAGTTTCAAGACGTTAAAAAATCGCGTTGATTTTTAATAATTTTTGATTTTTAATAATTTTTGAATTTTAATAATTTTTTCCACGTAAATTATGCTCAAAATTTCTTTTACATATATGGAAGAAAATGCCAAGCAGTGTCATCAAAACAAATTATAATTTATAGGGTCTTGAAACTTGAATACTTAGGTATAATTTAAAAGGTTTTATTTGCAAAATAAAATCAGTTGTTAATGTTTTCGTATAAAGCTTGATCAAACGCGGAATACG